CGGACACACCCAACAGAGACAAATGAATGCAAGCAGATTTGAACCTTACCACGATAATTAAGTAGTGACAGTACCAGAACAATTTTTGCTTGATGAGACATGCAGCTGCAGTGAACCACACTTTTGTGAAAAGCGTTGCCGTGTGCACCGGTGTAGATGGTTAGGCCTCGGCTCTGGCGAGTTACGAATCAGAGTCATAAAAGGATGGATTCTCAGGAAGTGAGATCGCCGATGCAGACGATGTTTGCACAGCATTTATACAGAGTGTGTGTAAGGGCTCACTGCCAAGATTGCTAAGGCTTGAAACTGCATTTTGGTCATCATTCTGATACATTCGTATCGCCCGCAATGATCTTGATTTATTAATGAGCGCTGGTAAGGATAAGTTTTTGCCTCAAGGGAATAAAATAGGTATTTTATATTGGTGGGGTCCACGCATATGGATTGAGTGGTAGCACGAACTCCATTCGATCAGATCTGGCCGTCGAATCAAAGCAATTACGGCCGCGAACAGCGATACGAAAGATCTTCAGATCAATGGCTAGTTATGTTTGCCCAATGTGGTGGTTGAAGGTTGACAGCAGCGCAAGAGATCTTCAGGGATTCTTTGCACACCCGTTAACATTGGTGAGACAGGAAGTTGCTGCTGAAGTACTCCTATCGCAACGTTATCCCTAAAGATAAGTTAGGTGATCAGGTTTGTCATCTGATGGGACTAAATTTGACAAAATGCGCTGATGTGGTTGGTCCATCTGCGGTATCATCATTTCAGACTTGTGAATGTCTTGATAGTTTTTGAGTTAGTGATAACAAGGTTATTAATTTGTTTCAAGTAAACAGCTTGGACTAGAATTGTTAGCCCCTTTAAGAATGAGAGCTGTTAGATGGGGCAATTTGTGTGGTATGTGAGTAAGAGCATTGGTTTAGGGATGCAGTAAAATTTCTTTTGTTATTTTGATGAATATGTAAAAAAAATCTGAGGGCGCTTATGTAGTAAGGTAACAGTAAAGGCGGTGATATATTTGCTGCCAAATGTGGAACGATATCATCACAAATGGGCTTTGCGGATAATAGCCTGAGTGTGCAGAGGTTGCACAGCTGAGTTAATTAAGTATATCTGCGGATCGAAGAGTGGCAATATATGGATTAGACTTCGGGTAGTAACCCGATGAGAGCATATGGACTTTGAAAATAGATATGGATATTTTATAACTCATAATCCACCTTCTAGCCTGCACTTGTTTGATGTTTGATGCGGCCATCAAGCATGGAAAGCGTAACAAGTATTTTTCAGAATAACTGAAGAAATGTGCTTCTTATCAGTAGATTTAGCCTCTGGTCCGACAAGACCAATTTCGACTATGGACACGGTCATTTACTTAAAAATTCCATCGTCTAATAGAGCACAATAAACACGCATGCTTTTATTAACTATTAACGTTTTTTGCTACGAACTAGCTCCTAGGAAAGGCCACAATATTTTCTATGATCGGCAGAGGGAGCATATCTTGTCTGATTTCAGGCAACAAATTTGAACGCATATGAGTGATGATTCACTTGCTTGTTCGACCACAAACCCATACACGCTTGCATACACCAATTCATCACGGTGAAATGAAGTGGCTTGAGATACCACTGGTGGCATAATAACTAGGGGGCGAAAGATTAGATACTTATCTCTCACATGCGCATAGAAGGCTTAACCGGTGATTACTTTGCATTAATGCTTAGTTATATCACCAATTTTTGTAACACTGCTTTCAAACAGGGTAAAACACATCAGGAAAATTTTTTGCATTTTGCGCTCTTCACAAATGAGCACATCGCATATCGTTTAGTTTTATTTTAGCAGTAGAAATAGTAATATATCGCTTCCGTTCTTCAATTTCAAGAAGGATAAATCCCATAGATGCGTTTAAACGCCATTAGCGAAGCCCAATGACTCATTCAAATTGACAGTAGACCCACGTCTCGAATGCGATTAGCAATCCCCCACTCTTTTGGGGGGAGCTTCTCATACCTCACGCCATCGTCGTTATGACATCATTGGCGTGAGTTTCACTCTAGCAGCTCCTACGTAGGCCCTTCCAGATGTTTCACTCTTATGGATGAAATGATTTTTTCAGTCCAACGCCATGTGAATGCAGTAAAACAACATCCAGATTGATTATCTCTACAATGCACCAAATATTGACTTGTTGATATTCCCACATACATCACCAAACTCATTCCAAAATGCTTTCGATTCCACTCGGTATCAGAGGAAACAAATAGACATTTGCCGGGAGCTAGGTTAGAATGAGATGGCTCCATTTAGAATGAAAATACCATGATAAGAGAAAAAATTGCAATTTTGCAAATTATCGAATATTTAGTAAAGGGAACGTCATTCTATGCCTTAGGCATTCCTTAAAATACAAGTGCAAGCTTAACTAATAATCGGTCAAGAATCAGTTATTCTTGATCTGGTGGATATCTGTGATACAATGGCAAGAATAGTAAAAATAACTCTATTATGCGAGGTTTTTGAACGAAGTCAGAAATTCTGCATGACTATATGCAAGCATTCATGTGCTTTCCCTTCTTGCAAATAACTTACACTGGGTTGTTTTAGACTG